GACTTTGGCAAGTTAATTGATCCCGCCTGTTTCCCCGCCAAGGGGATTAATTTACAACCCCAGGCGCGTCCCGAGACGCGCCAATTTCGGTAAACTCAAGCTATTTGTCCCTTCTCAGGGAAATCGACACTGCCGCTGGTGTCGAGAAAAAATTCCGCACATTAAGTTCTCATGGCGCAGTCTCAGATTCAGAAGTAATTTAATCGCGCTCAAAAGAAGTTAAGTCTGATTTTGCAAAAAAAAAATACTAACTCACATGCACACACTATATCCATGTACTGTATTTGAGGATTTTAGAATTCATTTCGAAGTAGCGGACCTTCCGAAAATGAGACATGCATCGATCATTGAAACCTAAGTGTTCAATGCTCTGATTTCAAGGCAAAAACAGTGTCACTTAGGTAAAATATCCAATGTTTTTCACGATGATGACCAACTGCCGCCTCTGAGAAAGATGGCGAACAAGTTCATATCAACTAAGATTGTCTGGTTTTCTGGTTCCTTTTGATTGCCTGAAACTGCTAAATTGAAATACAGTCAAACCCTGTTAAAACCGCCAACATTTGTCCAGCAGAATTTTGGCAGTTTAACAGGATTGGTGGTTTTTCAAGGGAGGGGTTGCGACAGTATTTAATGAATGAATAAGTGTATTTGATTTTTTTTTGTTTCAACCTCTATCCCTCCCCATCCTGCTTTTGGTGAAGATGACTCTTCTTTCTTTTCTGTGGGGACATGAATCTCTCATTCTTTACATCTTTAAATGGAGAAAACAAATATAAAAAAAAGATTACCCAGAAATATAAAGCCTTGAAGAGAGCAGCCAAAAATTGGCGGTTTATCTGGATCAAAAACAGTACCAAGATCCTGCTTGTTTGGCAAAAAAACATTGGCAGATGGCGGATAAATGGGGTTTTCCCATCCCTTCAAGCTTGGGAAGATTTGTTTGGGAGGAAAAAGTGGTGGGAAGCAAGGGTGGCAGTAAATTGGGGTGCCGTTTAACAGGGTTCAACTGTATACACTATACAGGAATATTTGCATACCTACCTATTGTTACATAAGTTAAAATGTGATTGAGGTCAAGGATTGACAATGAGACCCCTGGATGCGGACATCTCAACATGTGGACAACTTGACATAGAAAAACTTATTTTCTCATAAAATAAAAATAAAAAGGCTCAACATGAGGACACTGACTCCACATGGGGACATTTTGTTATAAAATTGCAAATAAGTTTAAGGCCAAATTACAAGAAAAAGATATTTCCAACCATATAAAATTGATGTAAGAAAAGTTCATGGGCATTTCTCTCACCAATTTACCTTCCATATAGCTAATTAAAAAAATTCACTTCCAGCATACAGGGACTTCATTCTCTCTTCTTCACTGGAATGTTATTTTTTTTTACAGAGAATTCCAACATTTCTATGTACTGTACAGAAGTATCAGTATTCAACTCCCCAACTAAATGTCCATATTGTGTTGAAATATATTGATTGAATCAGTTTAAAATGGGAGACAAATTTTATTTTCATGGAATTATGTTGAGGATTTTGTTCATAAACCACTGATAAAAATTAAATAATGTAAGTTAAAGGGAAAATGATACTCAACTTGGGGAAATTTTAACTTAGGGACTCACTTGATGCACCAGTTATGTCCACATCTTGGGGTCTTACTGCATTCAAGTCAAGTACCTTTCTTTATGCTGGTGGTAACATTTCTTTTAAATTTTGTTAGACACCTCCAGCAGCAAAGCAACGCGCAATGTGATGGGTAGCAAATAACAGCGCGATACCTATCGGTCTCTTGTTGTTCAGAACAACCTAGAAGCGAAGAATTCCGTGAAAAAATATTTGAAATCCGTTTCAGCGCATGAATTATAATTTTCTGAATTCTCAGGTACTTGCTCTTTGGACACATGTGGGGTCGAATCAGGATGTCTGGAGGTTAACAATAATAGCTTCCACGTTTGCTTATGTCGAATGGACGGACTTGAAGTCAACGACGATTTCACGTGCGATGATAAAAACGGCAATCGGTCAGCACTAATTGCACTTCCAGGTAGTGAATGCAGTAATCAGCAAGGCCACGCAGAATCCGGTGAGTCAACACGTATGTGAATTATTGTGGAAATGTGTACTGACGACTGACATTTACTTCTCCCGTTTTTTAAAATGTGACTTCATAAAAAGTGAAGAAATCCTCATAAACTGCGAGTAAGAAATCCAAACATCATAATGTAACTGAACTCCATGGATAATCCGTCCCCTTTGCACCACAAAATAAAAAAAGCATCCCGTTCTATGAATGTCGGTGGGGCGGTTTCTCCAGAATTTGATAATTATTTCTGGTTCTGATGGAAGAGCAGTAACATAGTTTTTCCGACGATGAGCTTGCTTATTTACACTTAGATCATTTACAGTACATTTATTTTAATGATGCAGAGAAACGATTTTTGAAAATATTCGTGACTCGCTGCGGTGTCTCTGAAGTACATTTCAATGACAGAGCTTTTTTTTAAATATTCTCTGTAAATTTTCAGCACAGAGACTTTTAGGCCTCTGGTGGGTTTCACGAGAAGTCAGAAGCGAATGGTATTTAACAAAAATAATTTGTTTGAATGCAGAAGCTTTAATGTATAGTCATTGCTTATAATTCTTGTAGGCCATGCATTTTAATATGTACACGCAATATTTCTGCTTTTCAATTTTATTTTCCCGACGTGCCTCCATAAGATCCGATGATCCGATCACACATGGTGTTCGGATAAACAGAACATTTCGAGACTTTTAAATAAAAATTCGAAGGAAGAAATTGTTGAACACTTGAATATGGTGCGTATATTTCTTTACCATTATGTCAAAATACATTTCAAATATCACTCATGTATGGTGCTTACTGCTGACAGCTTTTTTTTATAAGGAAAAGTTCATAACTTTAGTGACCGCGCGATTCTATTTTTTACCGAACATCAGTCGAATTTCATTCAATAGACGAACTAATTTATTTTTAGTTCACAAGCATCACGCAAATTACATCTGCTTTTCATCTTATGAAAATTTCTTCTTCTACTGCGAGAACATTTTTATTTTTATGCTTGCTGAAGAAGTTGGTTCCAATCTTCTAACAAAAGTTTTTTATACGTTCGAATATCTCCGCATCTGCGTCGCATTCGGTACTGTATTTTTGAGAGCCGTTAATCGAAGTTTCTTTACAATTTCGCGATACAAAAATTCGAAATTGAAGCACGGCCACGAAAGATGATGATAACATCCAAAGCCGAGCGTCCTATTCGATTATTCTTCAACGTTTCAAATGTCAAGACCTTCGCATACAATCTGGTTGAAAGTTTTCTAACGTTTCTTTTTCAGACGGAATGATGTTTAATGCTCTATTGGTAAATCAGGAGTTCTTGAATGACCGACATCAACAGCCAGCGAACGGGAATCACGGAAGAATGTCTTTTGCTCTTCTTCCTCCTGGTAACTACACCATAGGCCAGGTGAGCCTTTTATTTAAAAAAATTAATATTATGTATGATTGCACAATTTCTGTTCATATGATATCTTCATTTTTCTGGAAGATTTTCGTCGAAGCGTAGAAATTTGTAACTTTTCCGCGTGAGTTTTTCATTCAAGTAGAACTCTTCTGTATACACCGAATTTCTCTTCATAGTCCATACGCACACCGGAAAATATTTTTGGTTTAGTATCTTAAAGCGGACAGGTTCGAAATGATGTCGAGCTTCTTGAATTTTGGCAGTATGAACATGCGTAAACGTAATTTTGGCAGCATTTTTAGTATGCTAGAAAAGTAGGACATTTCGATGGAATCGGAACGAAATCCATTTCTTATTCTCCTCTTACGTTTATATTGTAGCTTTGTCATTCTGACGCGAACGCAAGAAACAATTTAGATTTTCTCATTGCGATAATTCGCAGTTTTCTTGAGGTCAATTGAGTTTGTTCAAGCGCGAGTAATACGCAGAATAGTTCCGTTCAGTCAACAAAGACCACTCTAACAAAATGATGGAGTTTATCGTTGCTCATGTTATTCGTCTTATTGCGAGTCGCTGAAATTAGGCTCGTGATTACCGAAAGAGGCAATGCGTAAAAGCAAGGAAACAGCCGGGGCTTCGGTTAATTTGTCGAGGAGACGAGGACATGAATATATTAATGGCGCTAGCAACATATTTGTCTCCTGAAGATGTAAAAAGAAAAAGAAGTAAAGGGAAAGCTTTCCCATTTTTAGAAGTCCAATCTCGTTGATGAAAAATGAAACCTTGAACTCTGCATGTTGGCATTTGGCAACCTTCAGAGTGTATCTACTTCAGTTTCATAGTTCTCTGAATAAAGAGCTAATGTTTTCATTTAGTACAGTATTTATTTTTACGTACTTTTTCGCAGACATTGGCGAAATTAACATTTCTCTGATTTTTATTCCTTCATCAGATAATAAACTTTGTACGGATTCTATTGCGTAATTTTTGGTAATTAGTTTTTCCTTGTGTTTCAGCGATTATTCCTGGGCAAAACCTGTTGCATAATCCTTTCGACCCACTTTTCGCATTTCCGGTAAGACACATTAGACGTGCTGAGAATGCAATACCTTAATTGGAAGATCTTTTGAATGCAAAGAACCAAAATACTGTAGATGCATCACGAGGCAGATTAGGCGAATGAAATTTGCTGTTAGAGTACCATTGTCAAATCTTGAAATTAAACAAGTTTTGTGCGGAATTTTTCTTTTGAAAGCTGGAACACCTAAAACAAGCACAATATTCGCGAAAAATTAAACAGCAATCGGCGCGTCTCTAGACGTGCCTACAGCTGCAAACCATCCCTTTGACAGGGCAACAAAATTAAAACTCAACAACTCGGCATAAACTGCTGACAATAAAACATAAACCCATCCCTGGGCCAACAACTTCAACCAAGGGGTCAAATGACCCCTCAATCCTGCCGATTTTCAAGGAGTTCAAATAACCTAAAAAGGGGGGAAGACCAGACTTTTCCAGCTGCTGGTTGCTCAAAAACACCAAGATCATTTTTCGTCTTGAAATCTAAAACGTTTTACAGCCAAGAAAACATATCCCTTGGACACTTAAAACAATTTGTACCCGTCTCCCCAAACATGCGCAGCCCTCAACAATCCTTCCCAATTCGAAAAACACCCGGTGTTCGGGAAAACCATTTTTTCTAAAAACTCTGAGCTTCTCAAAAAACACCACCACCTGGTGTTTTTCGCCTACCCCAGAACCCAACACCTGGGACACCCTGACGACACTATGTACCCTCCCCCGTTTTTTCAAGTATAAAACCCCCCAAAAATCACGCAACGGGGCCAGTCCAACCAAAAATGTCAGAGAGTTACTCTGTGTGCTTTCATATTTGGAAACTTTTCAAACTTAGGAGACTCCTCTTATTTTTTCAGAGATTGTGCAGACACTAGAGTCCAAATCTGGAATTTGTCTTGTGTCTTTTCCTCAAAACCTTCTGATAAAATCTTGAGCTCAAACGCAAACGTTTTGTGGCTGTCTCTGACACAGCTAATGTAATTATTTATTTATGCTGTTTCTGTATTCAAAACCCAGCCTCTGGGACACCCTGAAAATACAATGTACCCNTAACAAAATGATGGAGTTTATCGTTGCTCATGTTATTCGTCTTATTGCGAGTCGCTGAAATTAGGCTCGTGATTACCGAAAGAGGCAATGCGTAAAAGCAAGGAAACAGCCGGGGCTTCGGTTAATTTGTCGAGGAGACGAGGACATGAATATATTAATGGCGCTAGCAACATATTTGTCTCCTGAAGATGTAAAAAGAAAAAGAAGTAAAGGGAAAGCTTTCCCATTTTTAGAAGTCCAATCTCGTTGATGAAAAATGAAACCTTGAACTCTGCATGTTGGCATTTGGCAACCTTCAGAGTGTATCTACTTCAGTTTCATAGTTCTCTGAATAAAGAGCTAATGTTTTCATTTAGTACAGTATTTATTTTTACGTACTTTTTCGCAGACATTGGCGAAATTAACATTTCTCTGAGTTTTATTCCTTCATCAGATAATAAACTTTGTACGGATTCTATTGCGTAATTTTTGGTAATTAGTTTTTCCTTGTGTTTCAGCGATTATTCCTGGGCAAAACCTGTTGCATAATCCTTTCGACCCACTTTTCGCATTTCCGGAAAGACACAGTAGACGTGCTGAGAATGCAATACCTTAATTGGAAGATCTTTTGAATGCAAATAACCAAAATACTGTAGATGCATCACGAGGCAGATTAGGCGAATGAGATTTGCTGCTAGAGTACCATTGTCAAATCTTGAAATTAAACAAGTTTTTCCTTCATCCTGCGGGTTTATTATAACGTATATGTTGCTGATAATCGGTGATTACCGGAGGTTAAATTTATCCTATGTATAAGGAAAATTCTGCAACCTTCAGGAATTGCAAATATTAAATTTAAAGAACCTATCCAACATACAGGTGGACAAGACCACAGCAAAATGTACATTTTGTTTCAGTGCTGAAGTGAGACTTATCTATTTTCTCAAGCATCACAGGTAATGGGAACAGGTTAAAAGAACACCCCATAATCATTGAATAAAATTGCGCACAATTAAAAAAATGGCGCAAACAAATAAATTCTGCAGGAATTGCCTGAGGAAAAATTATTTGTGCATGGCGAAACTTCCAATTTGCAAATCTACAAAGCCTATAACTCCATCCATTTTTAAGCTTGAAAATCATTGGCAGCCTTAAAATGACATTCACAAAGTTCTCCATCATTTTGAATATGCAGTATTGTAAAAATTGCTTGAACTAACATTTTTAAATGTACATCAATTTATTTAAAACAAACTTTTCTTGGATGATAAAAATCTCTAGCATCCCTTCCTCTGAGATAGCTATCTTTCTTTAGCTTACGCTGGTGAGGCAAAAAAAAAACAGTGAGTTCACCAACGGCATTTGCTTTTTTTTAGGATATCCTTTTCTGCAACATATCGAAGATGTAATTGTGCTGAATTTCCATAAATCAGTCATGAGAATGCTTGAGGGAAACAAGCGCTTCTGTTTAGCATATTTCCTCAAGTACCATGCACCCTTTAATAAGGTCCGCAAAAGGGGTTTTCAGTTGGAAATTTTGCTAAAATTGTATCCCCAAGTAAGATGCGCACCCCAATTTTTGGTGACTCTAACCCTTGGATGGCTAAGTCGGACTATTTTTGCGAAATTTTGTACCACCTCAGAGAGGTAAAGAAAAAAATGAGGACAGGGAGCCAAGGGCAAAGTTGGGAATAATCCCGGCGTTTTTTTCCCTCCCAGCAGACAAATTTTGTTGGCAAAAAAAAAAAACTCTCAGTTAGGCCCGGCTTTTTTCGGATTAATCCCAACTTGGCCTCAGCCCACCTGGAAGGGTTTTGGTGACCTTCCCAAGACTGAAAATGCGGGAGGATACAAAAATAATCTGACTCCGTCCCGCTATGGGAAAGAACCCTCCGCCATCCGAGGGGTAAAACCACAAAATTTCAAAAAAAAAGCAAAAAATTTTACTTTATAGGCATAAATTGAACACAAATCTGATCAATTTTCAACTTTTTCCTTTAAAAACGTTTTCTTGTTACATTTTTGTTCCAAATTTCTCCAGTATAATTAAGTATAATGCACACATAACTTCCTAAGTCTTGCTGAAAAAGTTGTACCTGCTTTTGATGTGCACCCTTTTTTTTCCTCTGAAATTTGAGAAAAAAAGGTGCACCTGGTACTTGGTATATTATACCAATGCATAGAACAGTTTCCTATTGAATGAAGACAATTTTTTTCAAGGGGTGCAGGATAAAATCCCGTGGGAGAAAAAATTCCGCGGCCCAAAAATCCCGTGCGGCCAAAAATCCCGTAGGCCCAAAAATCTCGAAAGGTCCAAAAATCCCGTAGGTACGAAAATCCTGAAAAAGGAATTTTCATATCAGTAAAACCTAATTTGAAAACTGCAGAAGGTAATGTATTTAAACAATTCGTAATTATCAATGACGTCTAAATTCAGTTATGTATAGTTATATTTCATTTTCAATCTTAATATTCAATATACAGTACATGAAGTGAAGGTGAGATTCTATCGAGAAAGATAATCTCTAAGCCTCCCAAACCCTTGGAAGGAATTAAAACCCTTGCACTTTCACAATTTCATTATCCACTAGATTTTTATTCCTTCCAGACAGTTGGAAGGGTAACCCATAGAGACAATATCACAATTTTGTAGTACTCATGGGGATTTTTGTACGTACGGGATTTTCGTACCTACGGGATTTTTGGACCATGCGAGATTTTCCGGCCTACCGGATTTTTGGCCTCACCGGATTTTCGGGCCGCGGGATTTTTTCTCCTACGGGATTTCATCATGGAGCCGTTTTCAAGCTTATACAATATCCCTATATCGTTTATCGTTTAATTCCGGTACTGAGATCTCTGTGCAAAGAAATTTGTTGTTGAACTAGAAAACGAGACAAAATCATGATGCTTATACAAGCATTCGTGTCCTGGACGCACAATAAGAATGGGCTTATTCATTAGATGAATAAGTAAGACAATTCATGTGCCCGTAGAGCCTGCTGTAATGCAGACTAAGAAACGCAATGAACGCCGGTTGTCAGCAGGAGTTTCAAGACGCGGCTCTGCAAACGCTCTGAGGAAGAGTGGAGCAAACATCAAAGATCTTATTACTGATGGCCTCTCACTTCCCTCGGAATTAGGCAATTAAACCTCGTCTTTTGATGCTTCATGCTTGCAGAATTCAATGTCGGTTCATCCCGGACCCGAGCTCAACTCAACAACTCTGGGACGGGATGACGAACTGGCTGCGGCCAGGATTGGGTCTCAGCAATTCTATGGCGTCATCGCAGCTGCTGGTTCCACGGTGTTCTTCGTTCTTCTGCTTTTCGCAATTTTTGCGAAAATCCGGTTCAAAGCGTGTCGCAAGAATCGCGATGCTTCTCGGAATACCGGGCAACACTTGCTGCAAGAGCGTGCTGTTGTGAGTATAACACCCATGCATGCATGGAATGGATCTAACAAATTGAGATGGACAATTCGAAAGACAGGGATAATTCTGGACAGGGATAATTCAAGGCAGGGACAATTTGATACAGAAACTATTGAAACCAGGGACAATTTGAGACATTTTGAGACAGACCATTTGAGATGGAGGCATTTTCATAATGACTTTCTTGTGGTTTTCCCTGATACCTTATGTTGAAGGTGTAAAAAGTAGCATTGATTGTACAGTTTGGTTGAACTGTATGTTAATTTCATTTCCCATAAGAAACATAATCAAGACAACAATTTTCAAAATAATTGAAGGAATTCATCAACTATAATTTTTCTTCGATGTTTCCCTTGACTGGTAACAGAAAAGGGGGAAAAGGGCTTTTATATAAAAGCCCCATTTAATCCTAGGGTGGCAAAGGACTATTTTTTTTAATTTGTTGCACCTCAGAGAAGAGAAGAAAAAAATGGGAACAGGGCATGGAGGAAAAAGTCAGGAAAAATCCCAATGTTTTTTCATTTTGCACAGAAAAATTTGGGGGGGGGGGGGTTACTCATGGGAAAACTAAAAAATTATGTCTGGAAAGAAAAAATTGGGCTTTCAGAATTGCTGTGGGACTTTCTCAAATTGTCCCTGTCTCATATTGTCCCTGTCTCATATTGTCCCTGTCTCATATTGTCTCTGTCTCATATTGTCCCTGTCTCATATTGTTCCTGTCTCATATTGTCCCTGTCTCATATTGTCCATGTCTCATATTGTCCCTGTCTAATATTGTCCCTGTCTCGTATTGTCCCTGTCTCATATTGTCCCTGCGTCATATTGTCCCTGTCTCAAATTTTTGGCCACACTTTTTAGTGTCTCAAGTTGTATTTCTTGTAATGTCCATATCCCCCAGGAAGGAATGCCCAGGGTACAAATTAAGTGCCATCTCATAGACTAGCTAACAATTGCCCACTTCAGTTTAATATGAATTGATCTTCACATTGAATTATTGCTTTGGAGATGCATTGAAAGAATGTCTTTATAGCAAGGCAACCTTTTTGTCACCCCCCCCCCCCTTGAAGAAATTTGATGGAATTAACACTAGCCATTCTTCAAGGTTTCCAATTCAGATTCTGGAAAGCTCTTGGTCTTCCGTTGTTCCAAAAGTAAATGGCGCAGAATCTTTTGAAGCCACTTTTAGGCAGATAATATAGATAAATGTTAAGCTTCTTTTGAATTCCTCTCAGGGGATGTTGGCTCATCACGATTACACAGTTTTCCAGATCTAGAATATATTTCATCCCGGACCGAATTCATTTTTGATCATAAAAACAAAATGGTCCAATTTTCTAGGAATTCTCAGTCTCTGCGGAGTTCTGAGAAACTGTGGATTTTTTCTTGGCTTGAAGAGAAAAATCAACGCGGAATGCTTCAGAAAACCGCCTTGATTGAAACATGTGCATGCTCTTCTATATTCACCTGACAATAAGAGACCCTTAATTGAATCTTTCTTGCGCAGGAGAGCCTTTTTTAATTAAATTCTCTACCAGTTAGAATGTATGTGATATTTTTTCTTTTCTTGTTTGGACAAATGGCTCATGTAATGAGAAGTATTACTTGCTTATACTGTATCTTGGAAAGTTTTCCATTCTTTTTCCAAGAAAAACAGTGCCTTGCTTTTGTTGAAATTATACTTGTCTTCAGGTTTACCCTGAAAGGTTTCTGTTGGAAAAAGCGTTGGTGTGCCCATAATTTGAACAGTAATTCCTCTTCTTTAATCCCTCACAAAATTTCCAAAAAATTTTCTTGCTTCTGCTGGAACCTGTGAACCAAACTGGAATTTGGTTCCCAGGCCCAGGAAGGACATTTCTGAATAAACTATTATCCTTTTTATTCCTTGTCCTTCAACTCTTCTTTTCCTGATTCCAAAATATTCTTGATTAAAACCACTTGCAGTCAAATTGCAAACCCAAGCAGATCTCCAAGGAGAGAAGCTTCTGCATGTGTATGTTTTGTGCAAAATTCTGAACAGTGAACTCAGTTGAAATTCATACTTTGAAATAATTCCTTAAACTAGGACAAAAAATTGTCGTGGGAGCAGCCTGGCTGCTTGAAAGTGCTTTCTTTCCATCCTAAACTTTGAAATCTTCCATCTTTATCTCTTGTTTGGCAAACTCTGCCAAATCCAAAGCATCTAATTGATTCAAAGCTATTCCCTCAATTTTTAGCTCATATCATTCTTCTCCCTCTTTTTGAGATTTGCTGGCACATCACCTTTTTCTCAGTTTCTTCCAGTTTTACTGTTCATTTATTGTTGGGGAACCAGAACTCGGGCCCAGGGACGTCAGGTCCCAAGACCTGAATTCTGGTCCCGTTTTCCTTAGTGCACTCGCTCCTTGGATGTGCATGCAACTTATTTGATTCACATTTTTCCAGCCAATCACAGGCAAGGAAAAAAGTCCAGTGCTTCCATCAGGTCAGCTGACAGAAGCATTGGGCTAAATCTTATAAAAACCCAGCACTCTTCCACTCCCAATAATCAGTCCTTAAAATGAGCTTCAACAGTAAACTTCCTCCAAACTTTCCAACCCCAATTCTTCTGATTGAATTGTTGCTTTTCATTATTGCACCCTAAATTTGTGTGCACAAATTGTTTGTCTTCATTGAATGTGTGTTGCATCATTGCATTTATTGTGATGTATCATTTTTTGTATTGTGATTGATTGTGATTTATTGTGGACTGTGATTAAACCAGACAAAACTAGGGATATGTAATTACGGCACCCCCTTAATTACATATTCCCAGCCGCAAACTGGCTGATTGCCCTGCCTTATTATTTCCCACCTTTACTTCCACTGCGCTATGGTTCAATTCTTTGTTGGGTCAATTAATTCCTCAACATTTATTTTGCAAGGATAAACTCCAAATGCCCAGATGCTGATGAGTCACCGAAATGGTTGTGCTTTTGAATTTGTTGTGATATTTAAATCTGAAATGTACAGTATAGAAAGTCTGACATTTTTTATTCAGAGGCGCATTGTTTCCAGCTCCGTTTTATGCTTTTTGGCAGTATGCTTGATGAATTTCTTGGATTTTGTTCTTTATTTTCTTTATGCATTTTATGCATCAGAAGAAAGCTTGTGAAATATGCCATCACATTCCTTCTGGGAAAAGGTCAAGCGTTTGATATTACGTTGGGTTGTCCCTGCATCTGGTTTAAAATTTGCTGGGGTTTATCTCGGGTCTTGTTTCAGGCCTCCACGCTGCTCATACCAGAAGAGCTGGGATTTCTCAAGCAATATCTGCAGCAATATATCCGTCCTCTTTGCGCAGCAGTGAATTGCTTTTATTTCTTGGGTAATACAGTAAAATTTCCTTACAACAAACTCTCAGGGACCTGATGAAATTCAATCAAAATGTGGTGAAAACCACAAATCTGAATACAAAGAATTTTTGGTTATAATGGATTTACAAATGCCTTATAACCAAAAATTCTTTGTATTCAAATTCCTGGTTTTCACCACATTTTGATTGAATTTCCTAGAAATATGTTTTGTTGTGTACTCTTTTAACGCCATCGTTTCCCTACAAACAGTTTTTTGGCTCTTGGAAGAAGTTGGAGTTTTACTCGATTTTAATTTTTCCCCATTTCAGCCATTTATTTAATAATTTCTGCGGCCTATGCATGGAATCAGGGCCACACATTTGTTATACTGTACTGAGATTACAGCCTGAAAATGAATTTGTTCAAATGATATTTAAAAAATATTACGCCTATGGAAAACTGCCAGGATGCAAGAACAAATTTTGTATGATGAAAAATTTGTTAAAACAAGATTCGTTGTAATGGAATTTCCTGTATCATCACAGGCCTACTTGTATTTTGTTGTGTAACTCAGTTTTCAATTGAATACGTATTGAATATTTCCAATAAGATAGGAATGACTGTTTTTGATTACATAAATAACTTGAACCTGTGGTTTCCACTTTTTTCATCTGCATAATCCTCTGCAATTTCTCCATTCCGTGTATCTTATGTATATTACTACTGTACAATGTATCTCAAAAGGGTCTAGGAGTAAATGCTCTGTTTGCAGGTTTCTGAATTCAATTATCCAGAATATTGAGCGTGCACGAATGGATGAAAGCCAACTCTTCGGAGTGCTGGTTGGTCCTTTTCGTCGAATTTGCATCAACTTCTTGATGCTCTGATATTAATCAGCGAACTCTTATGAGATAAAGTGTAGTCCTCAGCTGGGCGGACAATTTTAAAAGCTTCTTCACTTGCTACAGCTCTCAAAAGAGAAATGAAACAATTTCTTACGTTCGAGCTTTCTGGTTTCAATTATAAATCTTTTTCGAAATTGATATGTAATTGCAATATTTCTATTGTAGGAGAGGTCTGTGGTACAAGGCTGGATAAGTAAACTACCGGATTCGCTGATTCTGATTTTAATTTTTGTGCTCATTGCATTATATATATTGCTCACATCGCACCAATGAAATTTCCGTATCACACGAGCTCCTAATTGTGGATGTGGTTAAGGCGTACAGTATATTGTATCGGAATTGCTGAAAGCCTCAAATATTTAATTACCAAGAACTGAGCTGCAAAAAATTGCGTTTTCTTTCATATTCTTGCACACTTGTCTTCAAAATTTCCTTTAAAATCATGACACTTCCTTTTCCTTGAATTATTGCCTCAAAGAACGTATTTCCCTCCTTTTTGACCCTGTGTGGCACCGGGCAGCTAATGAAGAGCCATTTCTGAGCCCTGGTCATTATTAGAGATCAGGGGCAATTAGAGACGACGTTTATCAGAGCATGTACAGTACAGTATATATGCCAAAAGAATTCAATTAACTTTGCATTTCTGTGAAGTTAGTCAAACCTCAATTTATTGCCACCATTATTTGTCCTGGCACATTTTGTGAAAATAGAAGCGGGAGTGCTACTGAATTGCATGAAGGTATTGTAAAAGAGGAAGGCTTAGGTGATGAGGGTTTCTATAATGTAGGCAAAACATGTAAGCTTGTTTACATATCATATTATTATGTGACTGAGTCTATTCTAAGAGAGACGGAAGCAACAAGGAATAATTCTAAGCTCAAATGCACAGTTTGTACATTGTTTTTCCACATGCCTATCGAGGCAGAATATACTAAATTTTCAAACATACTGTTCATATATCAGAGCTGTTTTGTACGATTTTGTTTGGATTTGAGTGTTTATATCAGATGCCATGATGAGAAAATAACTCCTGATTCCAGAAAATGCTTGCATTCGTTGCAATTTTCAATGAAGGAAGGTGTACAGAACAACAAAATATTTCTTCAAAATTTTAAATCCAGATGCTGAATGTTAAAAATTATCCTGAGTTTTTATTCTGGTGAGCATGGATGTGGGATTCTCAGTTATAACCGAATGATATCAACAGAAATTTGCTTTCATTTTCTTTCATATGCACCCCTTTTTTGATGTGACAAAGATGTATGTTGAGCGCACCAATAAGTGACTTTACACTAAATTATCATTTCCCGATGGAAGAAGCTTTTTTCTAAGGAAATTCTTTGTACTATGCAACGGTGAGTTTGCACTAAATTATCATTTCCGCATAGAAGAAGCTTTTTTCTAAGGAAATTCTTTGTACTATGCAACGGTGAGTTTGCACTAAATTATCATTTCCGCGTAGAAGAAGCTTTTTTCTAAGGAAATTCTTTGTAGTATGCAACGGTGACACTAAATTGAGGGGCACTAATTGGAAGAGGGATGCCTGTACAAAACTTGAGTTCATGGGCTTTTTGTTCTTTATTCGTGGGATGCTGTTTTTGCCCAGCATTTTTTTTCTTCAAATTTTTGAAAACGTTTTCCAGCACCATATTTTAGAAATTGGCGTATAATATTTAAAACCCATTTTATTGTAACCTTTATGCGATATTCATGTATAATTGTTTGAGTCATTCAAAAGCAACCGAATAACGTGCAGCTTGAGTGAAAATTTAGCAATTACGCGCGATTAGTTTTGAAATGCTCATTTTCGAAATATTTCTAGAATGTTCTACGCTAACCACTTGAATTCTTTTTATATTTTTGACGGTATTTATCGTTGTTTCGTTTTTTAAGAGGACTTTTTTGCAGAAGCAACCGTTAGTATTGAAAATGTATCTGGATTAAATATGATCAACGGCGCCGTTTTCAGTAGTAACACTTACCTGTAGATGAGAGAGGCATTTGCGATAAGAATGTAATACTGTATTTTATTGTTTTATGTCGATAAAGGCTCCAGGGCCTGATATACGTATGTAGCCATGAAAAAAAAAACTTATACCCAGGTAGAAAAGCCAGGTGAGCGAAAATGTAAAAAAAATTCTCCAGGGCCTGCAGATAAAAATACACATAATGCGAGTTCCCTGTACAGCCAAAAATTGAATTTTATGGTTCTATGCACTCTTCGCATCCAAAAATATGCATAAGACGAGAAAACCAACACATTTTGGAGGGTACTGTTATTCCAGAAGATCAAATTAAATTTCGTCCCGTATTCTGTTTAATAATATACAGGGTGGGGCCGGAAAAGGGAACCGATTTTTACTTGAAATAACTCGGTGGAAAATTGAGCTATAGTAATGAAAAAATCATTAAATGTAAGCTTGTTCGATTTTATTTCAAATGGTATATGTATATTTTTATGGTCCCAAGTGCCAAGGATTGGTCAAAAAACCATTTGACTGAAAACTTTCTACAAAAAAGTTGTCAAGCTTCTTTCTCCACTAAGCTGCTGTTCTGGAGAGCTGTTCTGGTGAACAAATAAACTGATGGTTGAAAATTTTGATCAGAAAACTTCATGCTGTTTTGGAGAGACTGCACATGTTCCAAAATTCAAAAGGAGGGGGTGAGAAGGGGAATAAGGACATTGGCAAGATGTGATCCTGCAGTGCTCCAGGTGACCCACTCCATGCAGATTTCGTAATGCATGATTGGTTGCTGAAAATGATTTTAAATGACAATTATTTTGCATTGAACTGATTTTGAGGGAATTTAATTTTGAACAATCCAGTCATCCAGATGAGAAAAAAGTGCATGCATTGGGTCACCTGGAGCCTTAAGGTCAGTCTTAAGCAGCATGCATGCAGGACAGGAACCCTACAGCATTCTATCTTGCCAATTTCCTTCCCCTTCTCATCCCCTCCTTCTGAATTTTGAGAGCATGACATGTGCAGTCTCCCCGAAACAGCGTGAAGTTCTCTGATCAAAATTTTCAGCCCTCAGTAGGTTTATTCACCATAACTGCTCTCCATGCAGAACAGCAGCTTATTGGAAAAAGTTGCCAGACAATGTTTTTGAAAGTTATCATTCAAATAGTTCATTTGACCATTCCTTGGCAATTGTGACCATACAACTACACACCATTGGAAAGAAAATTGAACAAGCTTTCATTTGGTGACGTTTTCATTACCATTGCTGAAATTTTCACCAGGCTATTACAATTCAAAAATCTCTCACTTTTTTAGCCGATCCTGTATACTTGAACATTCTAATGATAATATCGAATGATTTTACACCCAGGTATCATAGAAGATAGATGAAGGTATTGCTTTCTGCCACGTCCACGTTTATTGGTTTCAGTTATAAATCCTTTTCAGTACTTTATTTACAGCGTTCTCCCTGTTGGACAGTTCCGTTTTTGTTTGAGGCAGGATAATTAAGCTACCTTCTGAGCTATATTCTGGATTCACTCATTCTGATCGTGATTTTCCTGCTAATTGCAACCTATATTTGCGTATAATTTCGCTCACATCACACCATCAATGCAATTTCCTTACGAGCTCCTTATGGTTTGGTTTAGGAGTACTGTATATGGATATTACAGAAACGTTCTATTTTTAATGGTGAAGAATCGAGGCGAAAAAAATTGCGACTCGTTTCATCTTTACACGAAACTTGCCTGAAAATTTTCCTTTGAACTATAGTGAACTTTTATCCCCTTTGAATCATATAATGTATACTCAACAGGTTATTTTCTATGCAGGAAAATGCGACCGCGGTGATGGAAACACTTCTGGATAATGGAAGAATCGTTCCGAATCCGATGTATGATATGGGGGCAGCTGCAAACAGACTTCCTCTGATGGCCAACGTAAACGTATGTATTTTATATTTCTGCAAGGCACGTACATCAAAATGATAATTTATTTTCTGTAGTTGAGAAGAATCAAGTGTTTGGAAGAGAAGGACTTGAAGCTGGAAGAGGAAATTGGCGAAGGCTGTTTCGGGAAAGTTTACAAAGGTTGGTACATTATATTCATCTTCATATAAGCTATTCGTTGCTGCGTAAGATTTAAAAATTGATTAGCAACACTAATCTCGGGCTCTGGGATAAACTTTGCTTCTCTTGAAGCCAATTTTCCTCACTCGCGTTACGAGAAGTCGAAGAAGTTTGTTTCTGTGTATTATACCGTATACCTCATTTCAGCCTGATGAGGAAAACCAAAGTTTGGAGATTATGCAAATTCTCGTAAATTTCATATCACCTATGAAAAATGACGATCAATTAGGGTTTTTTGTAGCAGTCTAAGCAAGAATCAACACAATATTCGAGTCGGCGAACTTCCAGTTGGGGACGTTCAACTGTACTGGATATCTATGCATATAGCTGTACGGTATTCGTCTATTTTATTTTCACTATAATTCACAGCCTAACCCCCATGGGTAAATATAGGGTGATTCCAGGAAACTTGGGAACAAAGTCACTAGAATGTGGGAGATGTTAAGCCTTCCTTATCGTAGGATTCAGCATCAGAGCTTTTCTCTAAGCTTCTCCTCCGGAAATTGATTCGAGAAAGCGTCCCAGTTCCGAGCGCGTCACTTGATCTTCATTCGAGAACAAATAGCTTCGGGATGAGGGAAGGTTGATGCTCTGCTGTTCTCATGTGCTGCCCTTCGGTTCTTTTGCCCACAGCCACCTACCTACCTACAGGTCGCCTGAATGCCAAGGGCGACGCTGCGTCGATACCATCCACAGTGGCGGTGAAGAAACTGAAGAAGGACGTCAGCAGCTGCACCGACGATCACGACGCAGAATTGCTAAAAGAGGCAGAAGTGATTGCGGGATTTACCCACCCGAACATCGTTAGACTCATCGGCCTGGTGGAACCTGCTGGTGAGTATATATATAAATGATTAATTTTGTTGTTGTGCGGTACCTTTAATAGATTCTGCACTTCTGGCGCCAGGGTTACCAAGCAAGGTACAAAATTTGCTTCAGAAGGATTCACTCATCGCGCGTATAATACACCAAAATAATGTGAATATGTTCAACCCGCATCAAGGCATGAAACAAATCACTCATGGTACTGTACAACAAAATCTCATAACAGTGAACTACCAGGAAAGACCTGGAAATTAATTTTTATAATGAAAAATGTGTTGCATCAAGATTCATGTTTTTTAACACATTTAAAAATGAAATTTTGTGGGAAATGGGCAAGAAATACTTTCACGTGCTTCAATAGCAGATAATTCAATATCCAACATAATTTTTTAGTATTTCTGATCAAATAATGTAGAGAAATAACCTTCTGACATAAATTGTACTTCTATTTCATGGAACCTGCCTTATTTCTACTAAAGTTTGGCTTTCTTGAAAATTGAATGAAACAAATTTACGTGTGGTGGAGCTCAATTTTTTTCAAGAGATGTTGAAATTTTGAAAAATGAACATTTCGTAATATTCTAGATACAGTATACTATAGAAAGTCTCCATTTTTCAAAATGTTGTCTGGGTGTTGGGACTGGTTTTTTAATATTTTCAAGTGTCCCCAAGTCAAATCATCAGTATGTTGGGGTATCCACATTTTGGTGTCTCACTGTAATGCCTATGGCCTATACACAGGATCATGGGCAAACATTTTTCATAATCAGATTATGGACAAAAATTAGTTTGGTGAAATGAGATATTTCAAACGTTATCTGTATTGGAAACTGGCTGGAACAAGAAAAATTTTGATAACCAAAGAGCCATTGTGACAAAATTTGTTGTACGAGAATTCTACTGTATGTCTATGCCTTAAATAAAGCTCAATTTAAATTGTCTAGGCGAGGGGCTATGATATACAGTATTTACTGAAATAAAATTGTATTTATGTACTCATGAATTTTTCTCTTAGGTCTGTATATCACTGTTTGGGGATCACTGCTTGTCGAAAAAACTGCTTGTAGACAGGTTTCTCAGAATGAAAAATAAATTATTAAAATAAAATTATGCTGAAGAAAATTACTCGTGAGCCAACAAAAAACCTTTGCAAACTGGCACCAGTTTGTGGACCACGGTTTGGGGAACACTGAGTCCAGAAAACACTGAGAGGCCATCAGCTTGATGAGTCAGGTATAAATGCTATTTATGCATGAACATCCCACCATTGACTAATAATCAACTGATGCCCAACTTATCTGCTGGATATTGGTACATGAAAAAAACAAAATACCCATGGCATCTTTGTTCTCAAAATGGAGAGGGAAAAATTAAATTCGCGTCATAGATGGGGTATATATTTTTCAAAAATTGTACAAGTTTAGGTTTGCACTGAAATTGATGTCAATGGGACATTTTGGACCCATTTTATCAGGATATTTTTTCAAAAGGCAAGCAAACTTTTTGTAATGAAAATAATTGAAAAATTTGTTCGATATCAATTCATGTCAAAATCGAATTTTGGATTTAGTCACTAAAAATGGGGTTCGCGTCTCACTCCGGGATAAAATGTTATACGAAATTTTGACTGAAAACCCGTGGTGGCCGTCATACTCGAGAACCCCCCTGTGGTACTGGTGCAAAAACCTAGCATATTTTAAACAAGGCATACTTTCATCATAATGAAGTTTTTGACCCCTGAGCACAAAAGGTGCCATTCATTCCATCCTCTCAGCGTGCACAGTTCCCAAATAAATTTTCTCCACTCTTTCCTTGACCTATGTGAGTTGTTTTGGAAATTCGCGAAATTTCTGTAAAGGTATTTGCAGAGATTTCAGATGAATGCATGCATTCATTCTTAGCTAGTGTCCGTGAGCACATGGGCGTGACACCAAAAAAATCTTGACTGCTATTTTTAACACGATTTTATTAACTCACTTTCTTGTCCATTTGTTTGTCCGGATCAAATTTTGCAACTCAAATTTCCCTCACTTCCTGACTAGCTAGCAAGCTGAAATTGTGATAATTCAGTATAATGTTGAAATTCTTGTTACTGATATTTTGTTTTCAATGTCAAGAAAAGAAGGGGGTGTGCATATACACTCCAGTTATGCAGTTATTGTATATTGTGGAATGTATTTTTTTTTATTTTGGCATCCATGTACAACATGTGATTGCATGCATTTGGGGTTGGGCTGTGTGTGGAAGTGGTTTGAATATTGGAATGTTCAATGAACTTTGTGAATGCTGAAAAGTGGAAAATAAAGCATTCTGTTGTGTTCTGTTCTGTATAGACCTTAGGGTTGGAAATACATGTTTCTCGGAATTAAGCCAAATAAAACTCAATTTTCCTAAATTTTATTGGGCAATATGTCAAGTCAGTCTCCCTATGTTTGGCTAAAAATTACTAAAAAATGACTTATATTAATTACAGGGATATCCGACTTAACAGGGTTATAACTCCACAGACGTACACCCCCAGAGTGACATATGTCATGACATTAACTAACAGAAGAAGTCTTAAGATGAAACATCAGAGACGCATTCCTTAGCTACAGAAATCAGGGTGGCTGGAATAATGTCGCAAGGACTAACCTTGTCACGCTGGAATAATGTTGTGGAGATTTAAGGTCCTCAGGTATCAATGTCAGGAATAATATTGCATTCGGGAATTTTTTTTCTGCTAAACTGTAATAAAATCATCAACATATTCTTTTTCCTAAAATTGGAACAACCTTGTCTGGCAAAAACTGGACTTTCCTTGTAATGATGAATATGGAATAACCTTTTCCTATATGTACACTGGCCCTTCCTTGTAAATCTGGTACAAGCAAGGACTTGGAACGGGCCTGCACATATTCCCGACTTGGGAGTTTCCGACGCCCCGCAAGCAGTAACTCGGCTCCGCCCCGCTGGCATACCCCCTCCCGGACCTGGGTCTTTCCTTGGGTGATGTTCCCTTGTTAAAATCCTGAAAAGCATTAGGGATACCAGTTTGGTCCAATTTCATTATTTGATCATTCTGATATTTTCATTATTGGAGGGGGTTAGCTTAGGTTAGGTTAAGTTAGGTTAGGTTAGGTTAAATTAGCTTAGGTTAGGTTAGATTGTTTGGTTAGGTTAGGTTAGGTTAGGTTGTTAGGTTAGATTGTTTGGTTAGGTTAGGTTAGGTTGTTAGGTTAGATTGTTTGGTTAGGTTAGGTTAGGTTGTTAGGTTAGATTAGGTTGTTAGGTTAGGTTAGGTTGTTAGGTTAGGTTAGGTTGTTAGGTTAGGTTAGGTTGTTAGGTTAGGTTAGGTTGTTAGGTTAGGTTAGGTTGTTAGGTTAGGTTAGGTTGTTAGGTTAGGTTAGGTTGTTAGGTTAGGTTAGGTTAGGTTATAGGTTATAAGCATTGCAAAACTTTGTCATGAACAACACCCTCCAGTAATGAATGAAAATGTGCAGGATTTACAAAAACCTCCAGCTTTCAGATTATAAGATCCCTCTGCACTCTGGCATCTTCCCAGAGAGGCTCAAAACCTGCATTCCCTTGTTCAGCATATGAACATTTAGCCATGGACAATCACCATCTTTGAGATAATAAGCTCCCTCTGGCATCTTCCTGGAGAGGCTCATAACATTGGTTCCCTTGTTCAGCATATGAACAAGGGAACGTCACCCAAGGAAAGCCCCAGGTCCAGGAGGGGGTACGCCAGCGGGGCGGAGCCGAGTTACTGCTTGCGGGGCGTTGGAAACTCCCAAGTCGGGAAAATGTATGTGCCCGAACCTTGTCCCAAACTTTTTTTACAAAACCGAAAGGACTGTTTAAAAACCGTTGGACACTGTACTCACCTCCACAACAAGAGGTGAGTACAGTGTGTGTCCAACGATTTTTAAAGAACTCTTTCGGAAAAAAATTAAACTTGGTTTTTTCTTTCAACCCTGATGTTTTTACAATATCTAACAGGATTTGGGCAGATGTCTCCTAAGCCAGTCTTTTATCACCGTGAGGCAAGGTTAAACAAAATATTGTCAATAGAAAATGAACAATATTTTTGATAGGAAATTATGAAAAAGAGAAAATTAAAAACTGCTGTGCCTCATGTATTTGGCACAGCAGTGTCATGTTGTAAGGCACAGACTTTACATAAATGTAATAAACATAATAAATGAATGCAGATATTAAATGAAAAGTGCACCAATACTATACATATATGCTAGAGGGAAGAATTTCATTTACAAGATAATTCCATTTTCATCTTGATGACAATACTCCAGTTCAGGCATATGAGGTTATTGTTCCAGTTCTTAAGAAATGACATTTTTCCTTCACCATTGTACAAGTTTTATGTGGTTTTTTTTCAAACAATAATTTTTTTTACAACTTTCAGGATTTTTTAGCAGTACAACGCTAGGCCAGTTATGCAGAAAGGGAAGATTTTTTCACAGTATAATTCCTGCAGAGGCTGGACAACAATGAGCAGGTTTGGAAATTATGACGTAATTCCACCACCCCAAATCATGCTTGTACTTCGAGCAAATTTCTGAGATCTTGTTCACTTTATGGCTGAATGACATTCCAAAAAGTGCTCAAGATTGTATGATTCACGGCACAAAAATTTCATCAAAGCAGAAAATGCTAACTGTCCTCCATGAGTCCTGAATTGCAAATGCAGTTTATCTCAATTTGTAAGATTACGTGCTGTATACAATCGTAATATAGGCCTCAGTATAGGGGTACCATGTAAGGAATCAGATCATTTAAGAATATAAACTTTCCTCAACAAATGCAGTATTCTGAATAATGTTTGTTGTCAGATTAGATATTGTATTTATAACCACATCAGTATACAAGGGGAATAAACTTGGATGATTAAAGCCCAAGCAATAAAGAGACAATACAGTACTATTTATGGCTGGTATCTTGAATGATACACGTGCATTTTGTGGCCCATTCTTGTTACCCCCAGAAGATTCTGTTGTTGTGAATATTTCAACGACCATATCAAATTTGATATGCTAGCTTTAAGAGAACCCAAATTCCCAGTAAAGTTTGTCTTTCATTCCATCTGTGTGAGAATCTTGCAAGACTTTGGTTCCCACAGATGTTCTGCAGCCTCCAAGGCTAGATTTTATTACCAAGATCCTGTTGCCGCTTTTTGTCCTTGAAGGACAGTTTTCTTGATTTCCAAACACTGCAATTTTATTACAGTCCCATCTGAGCATTTGTGTGTGCATCATCTCCAAGATTTTGAAAGTCCTGATTTCTTGTGCAACTTTACCAAAGTATACCAACCTTATAATAGGGTGGTTTTCACCCCGGTTGTAGCCCAACCAAATTGCTGTGTTTTATTTCTTAAACTTCTTTCCACAAACTACAATTTAAAACTAAACCTTTTACTTGTTGGAATTTATTCCTAACATCTGTCTCCCTTGAGAGTCTGAGCAGATTGTTGCCATTTTAGCGGTTTTGGTAGCACTGGAGTTTCAATGAAGAGCATCCTAGCTTTATTTATATCTCTTTGAATTACTCTTATACAATCGAGACTTCAAAAAAGATGTGAAAAACAGGAAAAAGATTGCTTTGTGCAGTGGGTTCCCAACATACAGACGCCCCAACATATGACCGAATTGACTTACGTAAACCTATAATGCCTCTAAAAATGTCCCCGGACATCGGAAAAATGTCTTGAAATATTCGTTCAGCAGATACTGTACTTGCCGACTTTCCAACTGAACAAAATATTTTCATTTAATCAAAACATTGATGTATCTTGAAAACTGGATCTTTTTATATTCTCGAAAATGAAAAAGAATTTTTCTTATAAATTAACTATAGTTTATGATCCAAAGCGGGCCAATTTTTTACGTCTTGTTTCAGAGTTTTTTTTTTCCTCATCTGAGCCCGCACTAAAGGTATATTTGTGCTCTCTTCTCTGCTGCGTTTTGGGCTTCTTTCCATGCCAAAAACGCAGATTCTGTGTGTTTTTCTTGTGCGCTGCACTCTATTTTTCTAGATTTTCAATTTGAGAAAATAATTTTATTCGATTATGAGGGGGGGGGGGTTCCTTTCCCTAATTCATGTACGACAGGAGAACCAAGGAAATATAGTCCCATTGAAGTCTAGAGGAGAACGAGATCCAACATGCGGACGTTCTTACGTATGGACGAGGTCCAAGCAGCAATTACGTGATTTATGTACCCATTTTGGGGCCACACTGTATATGTATACTGTATATACAATACTAGCCTTTGTCAGTACTATAGAAATATCAAATGTATCAAAGCTTTAAATGCGAATGAGAGCAATATCTGCTCCAGTATATCATCGCAAATGATTTTCTAAATGCTCCGGCATAATTATGACTGGACATTACAAATAAATATTTGGTGAAATATCTGAATATTGAAACTAGGAACTATAGGAGGAAAACATTTAAATTCTTCTTGGCATGCTTTTATGATGCATCTTTGAAGAGACATGCATTTGAATAAAAACCGAATTCTTTTGTGAATCAAAAAGGCAGAGGTAAAAACCTAAACCTATAATACGACAGACGGACAAAAAAGTTCCCGGGAAAAATTCGAAGCACGAAAATTAGTTAATGTCAGAGTTCCATACTTCCATATTTCATGTTTTTACGGGAATTTAAAAATAGCACAATTTGATGAGATTCTTCAAGTGATACATTATCTATACATGATGCGTAATTTTAATTCGTTAGTTTACTTTTTCTTCAATTACGCAGAAATCCGCGCAAAAATTGCTGGCAGGTAGATATCCCAGACTTAAAGGGACGCCTCTGCATAGGCATACCTTCCCTAAGTTTAAAGTTAGAAACAGGCTGGTTATTAAAAGTTTTCAAGGATATGTAATACAGTATCTGTGCCTCAATAGCCTACCTATACATTTGCTGATAAATTTTCAAACTTGTTCATGGCCTTTTGCTTGAATAATGGTGCAAGGACTGAGCCAGGTAGTGTCCGGGCATTGCATCCAACTATATACGCTTCAATTCTCCATGAGCTGTCAAATTAATGCCCCCGTTTCACAGGATAATGGCAAATGGGCGACGGATATTTGTGATGATGGCATTCGAGTGATGTAGAGTGAGTTATTTCTATCTTAGTATAATGCGTACCGAAAATTTTGATGGATGTTTCTATTCATCCAAAATGGATGACCAGAGAAGAAAAGTACATTTGAAAAGCATTAATCACAAAAATCATGGCAAAACAAGTTCAGATGAGATATTTTACTAGTTTATATATGAATTTTAATTCGTCCTAAATCGTTCTGAGTTTTTTTTTTATGGCAAAATATTTCATTTCAAGCAAGAAATTATCTCAATTAGACCATGTTCAATTGATTCTTACTTTATTTTGCAAAGGATTGACCCAAAAGAAATCAGTCTATTTTCAAATAAGATAACCTCAATTCGTTACGTCCGAAAATACAATTATAAGATTAATTATCTTACAAATTACTGTATTCAAGGTCCTGGTTTTGGTTGAGTATCAGAATGGACGTTTCTCGAAAGAAAAATCTGCAGAGAAAATTGCTACATTTCATCACTTTTCTTTTCGAGTTTGAGCAGAATGTTTTTCGAGTAGCGTACCTCTGTTATACTGCAGTGTCAATTAACCAGCTGCGTAAAAATTGTATCCTTGCTTAAATTTATGCATCAAGATTCCTAAATTTTTCATACGACTTGCTCCCTGACGGAAAAAATTAATTTAGAAATTAATTTTAGTCACAGAATTCCGTTTGATTCATTCCAGCCTCGTCACGAGCGCTCGATGAAAAGACGAAAGAGACAGTTAGAAATGAATATTTTCCGATGCAACAAAATGTGGAGCTGGAAGAAAAAGGCTTCATACAATAGTTCATGGGGCATCTTTCATTATATGCTTCAAAGCACACCATCCCCACATGCAAATGAGATACGAATACTCAGTTGAATTCAAACCAACAGTGCGAAGCAAATCAGTAAGCTTCATTTGGTGTCCCGAGATGCTTTCTAACATACAAGCACAACACACTAACACAGTCAACACTGGTGCATGTACAGTACTCTTAATCCATGTGTCTTTAATCCAATACTGCACAGGAATCCTGGATTTGATCCCTGATTGTTTGATATTATATGCCGAAATGATAAGTACAATGACCTTTCTGATTTTCTATCCGTCTTGATAATTCATTAAAGACCCTCAGAAGCAGTAAAAGTGCATGAGTGGAAATCGTTCGAAAGAGTGGCGGAGGAACTTTAATTAGGAGATTTTTTTTTTTCATCGCACGTGAAAAGCGAAAGATGTTGACGAGATACAAGGGTCGAGAATATGTAAATCTGTTTCTTGTCGTTTCTTTGAAGAATCCACGAAAACAGAAAAGAATCAATCAAGATTCACAGTACAAAAAAAAAAACAAGCGCAACGGAATTGAACTTGTAAGTGATCAACTTGTGCAGGATACAACAAAAAGGGGTCTCCTCAAACATTCAAATCTTGGGCATATTTTCCAGAAATCCATTATTGTCCTGTACGAATTTTATTGAAGTTTTGTTCACTCTCAATTATGTTCGTTGTTAATCCATGTGTCTCACACTTTCTTGGGAGATTTTTGTACAGTGGACCCTTGGTTAACAAACTGATAGGTTAACAAAGCTTTTCAGTTACCAAACTTTTGATTTTGAGAAAGAATCCTTCGGTTACCAAACCAAAATTCGGTTAAAAACGTTTTCTGGGGAAGAACCTCAATTTTGAAAATTAAAAATTTGATTTGATGGCTGAAATTGATTACACGATCTAAGTGAAAATAATTTGCCTGTGCAATGATATGAAAATTCTTTCCTTCTGAAAATCCAATACTGTATACAGTACCAGTAATCTTATGCTTTAACATTTGTTTCAGCTACAGTATTTATTTATACTTTTTTGCCACAAAATTATTTGTTTTTCTGCACTTAGGTTTTTTTAGTTGTTCAATTGTTCAATAGGTCTTTGTGATCATTACTTTCAGCATTATAAAAAAGTAATTTATTTTCACCTGAAATGTATCCTACCATATGCATTACTTTGGGTGTGGAGCTTTTTTCATCTTTCCTTTCATCAGTGTTCATTTCATATATAGCAAAGTAAAAACATTCTGTGCTCATATGTATAAGATGCAGTAATAATGTATTCTGATCATAGTTAATGGTCTTGAATTTTATATATATGCAATTTTCAATTTTCTTTGGGTTCACGGAATGGATTAAATGCTTCTGTATTGAATTCTACGTTAGAATCAAATTGGGTTATCAAAACACTGTTTTCAGTTAAAAAAGAACCAATTAAGTTCATTAATCAAGGGTCCACTGTACTTCATACTTGATAGATTGAATATATGTGTATGTCTTGATTAGATCCGTTTGAAAGCCTTTGGATGGTTGTGGAGTTCGTTCCAAACGGAGACCTTGTTTCCCTGCTGCGGAAATCTTCGAGCAGCGAAGAATGCGGTTCACCAAAAACAGCCTTCACTCCTGTGAGCATTACAATTTATTTACCATAATTCTACCTTAAAAAAGGATGAAAGTTTATATTTCAGTCGATCCCCTATGAATGGTTTCTTTTAAAAACAAAGTACTGTACTGCAAGTAATTCTCGAAACATCCTGACGATCACTTTCCCTGAGAGAGGATGAAGCTCGTTCATTTTCTGAACATGACAGCAACTTCAACTCCTGTATTTATGGACGGTGTCAAGTTTCCGCAATGAATATACAACATCCACTCGAACATGCCATGACACGATTCTTCTCGATATTCTGAGTATAAAATGGATTATTTGGTGCAGTGCAGTACTTGGCACTCTCGACGAAGGACTTGTCACGAGATCCCCGCATCTTATTTCCTGACAAGAGACAACTTCAACTGACGTGTAGCATTATGGATAGATTACATTCTATCGAGTTCTGTAATGCCTTTTCAGGAGGAACTTCACAACATGTCTGCGCACATCGCATCCGGGATGGAATATTTGTCGTCACTCAAGTACATTCACAGAGACCTCGCCTGTCGGAACTGCCTCGTCGCCGAAAACCTCCTGGTGAAAATTTCCGACTTTGGGCTCGCAAGGGACGTCTACAGCTCTGATTACTATCGGGTACGTCTCTCAATGATGTTTTCTTTCATACTTTTATGCATTCATGGAAAAATAATCACGCGGCATCAGAATATAAGGGCGAAAAACACACGCGTTATATACAAACTTCATTTCAGCAGAACTCATCTGTCAGAGACGTACATTTTTCGAGTGCCTTTCGGCTGCTGCCGGCATCAGATGCCTACATAGTCGAAGGGCCTTTATCTTGGAATGAAAAATATTCATGTGCAAAAATCTAGAGAAAGAATTCTTTCATCCTTCTCCCCATAGGAAGCTCAAAAACCTCCGGATATTACGCCCTTGTTGAATGAGAAATGGTGCTTTGTTCATCGATCAAATGCTGAGTATCGGCTACAGAATGAACGGGTTTATCATTGATCAGCTAGAGCAGTGTTCCCCAACCCGTGGTCCGCGGACCGGCGCCGGTCCGCCGGAAATTTTCTCTAGCATAATTAATTAATCAAAAGTAGCAATGAAGGACATTAAAGTATCTTCATTTGGAACTTTGTCTAAACAATGGCAGTTGAAATTATCTTATGAACGAAAAGTGAATGATGGCTTTTCTCCTGGGAACACTTCAGAATTTAGATGAATGTACAGTACACCTGATGAAATTAATTTTTGTTACATTTCATTCTGAAAAACGTTTCTTCAAGCCCACCTCTCTAATTTTTGAAGACATTGCACCACAGCTGCTTTATTGCTTTGAAGCCTAATTTTGAAAAATATTAGAAACTTTTAAAATACCTACCCTAACGTCTTCGAAGCAATACATTTCTTTGAATCTTTGAAACTATTTTTTCCACTTTGCCGGTCCGCAAAAACATTTATGGAAATTTGGCTGGTCTGTGGGCCCAAAATTGTTGGAGAACACTGACCTGGAGTACCAGTGTTCCGCAAAATTTCTGGGCCTGCAGACTGGGAAATTTTCATAAAAATTTTCGTGGACCATCAAAGTTTCAGTCAAGTTTATGAGACTCAAACAAATTATGCTTGAAAGACTTTACGGCAGGTACAAATGGAACCTCACAACTAAATCTCCTGCAATTTGACTGCCCACAACTTGATGATCAAATTTCAAGGAGGTTGACTTGCAATTCAACCCTTGCCCAACAATTTCATTTTTCTTCTTATATTTTAGAATTTCAGAGTGTCCAACAATTCAAACAATTTGCAAGTTGACCCAAGTTTGGCATTGGATTGGGGTCAAATTGCAAGGTACTGCCTGTATTGGAAAATTTTGTGTAAAAGTTGAATTAACCCTTGGGTGGCAAAGTCGGACTATTTTTGCGAAATTTTGTTGCACCTCAGAGAGGTCAAAAAAAAAAGGAAAACAGGTGGTGAAGGGCAAAAAATCCTGACGTTTTTTTCCGTGGGGGCAGAAATACTTTTCCAGGAAATTAAAAAAATGCTCAGGGATGCTCTGGCTTTTTTCCGATTGATCCCAACTTTGCCTCAGCCCATCTGGAAGGGTTTTCCTGATCTTCTAAAAACTTAAAAATAATTATAGCAGATTAAAAAGTTAATCTAAAAAACCACGTTTTTCAAGTAAGACTAAGCAAAATTTGATCCAGACAAACAAACGGACAAGAAAGCGAGTTAATAAAAACGTGTTAAAATGAGGGAGCATATGAAAATAATTGGATTTTGTCCTGCTATGGGAAAGAACCCTCTGCTGTCCAAGGACCAATGAAGGACCAAGAACCAATGAAGCCGCTATTATAGAGGGGTGAAAAAAATCAGAAAGGTGTGCCTAAAGAAGTATTTTTTTCAGCAGAAGGTGAAAATTGGTCTGAAGTGCTATTAGGAGAAATTCCAGATTCTTTTTTGCATCAGGTATAAATTTATGTGTACAAACAGATTTGTACAATCTCCTAGTGTGATTTTTTATGCTTCTTTCTTCCTCCCTTGTATGTGTTTATGTCAAGATTTGATATGCATAAAGTAAGGGACATGGCAATTGGCCAATAGAATTTTGCTTAAATTTTGTTTCTTGTCACACAATACATTTTGATACAACACTTTGTGACAAGATTGGACAACAAGTTGAGTACAGATTTTCACTTTCAAGTCTGAAAATATACTCATACAATTTTTCTGGACCAAGGATTTGATTGCAAGTATGTTTTCCTCTCAGGGCTTCCTTTCATACCTTCTCTCTTTAGGGATTTTGAGTGCCTATATATACGCACTTCTGCAGGTTATGGCGGTTGCATTGTATACTGTATTTTCAATGCTATTACTGTTTCTTTGTAAAATGGTAAAATTGTGTGAGATGAATTTAATTTTACCTGGCAATCCTTTCGATAGGAACTTTGAAGTTTGTTGGTTTTCATGCGTTTTGATTTTTCCTGTTTTTTATTTACTTTGTTTGAGAGGAAAATTGGAGCCACCTTGAGGTCATAAAACTTTTCAAACTTTGTCTATTTGACAGGCTATTTGTCTCTCACCTTATGAATGTTGCTTGGTCCTCTTTTTGCATTATTGCTGTCCTTAGATAGCTTTATTGTCTCCATTTTGTTTGGCATGCCAATTTGCCTTGGCATACCTTACTCAGATATTGGTGTCAAATAAATGGAAGGATATATTTTGCGGAAAATCCCCACACATCAAATTGAATCGATTGTGATTGTTGTTCAGAAATTTCAGTTCAAGATAAGACTTCATTGCTAATTTTTAAAAGTCAATTGTGCTAAAAATAATTTGCCGTGGACGAGCAAAAAAAAAATTCTGTGGACCAGCGCTGGTTTGCTCGCTGACCACAGGTTGGGGAACATTGACGTGAACATTTCTTGGATGAAATTATTAAAAAGTATTCTTTTATCAGCCGACTCTGTTTGCCTATTATTGTACAGTATTTGATAATTACCTGAGCTTGTTCTTCAGAAATGCACTTTCAAATGCATTACATCAACATTGTTAGAGATTAAGCAAGGGCAGGACAGTTGAGGACCAAAATAAGATTATTGTAAAACATGGTTTCTTTGAAGAAACTGCTGGGACCAAGAAATAAAGTGTTGTTATTATGAAAAATCGCTAAAGCGGAATTAATTGTAACAGAATTTCACTGCATTTACCCTTTCTTCAAAAAAACTATCACATACAAATTGAACATCAAAAATCTATCTGCAGATCATTCAGTTATATTAATCCAATTCCAGAAACTGTGTTCCAACAGAGAAAGCTCGGATAACATTCCAATGTACGTCCTTTTCATTGTGGAAATGCTCATTGTCCAATTGGAAGTCAATATACGTCAAAGGATTTCGAATTACGTGGCTCACGTTCATAGTTCCGTGAGGACCAGAGAGATTCAATGAATGCCACCCGAAAGATTAAACTTCGAATCAAGCTATTGTATAAGGAAAACCAATGATACGTTGGATATGTGTCATTGCGAAGGAGATATGGCCTTCAAAATGCCAATAAAGGCAAAAGAATGAAAGGGCGGCTGGAGAAAATCCCCTGGCAGATTAAAAAAAAAAGCAAGCCGCCCAAGGAAAATCACCTGAGGCCAATAATCCCGTTGGCCTAAAAATCTGGCGGGATTCAAGAATTCCACTGGAAAAAAACCCTCGAAACGTGAATCATTGCATCAGAAGAACCCTCCTTGATTGCTTCAGAAGAACTACAATATAGGTATTAGTGTTTACATTATTTCTAATTTTTTGAAAAGTCGAAATGAAGTTTGAAAGTGATGTCTCATTCCATTAAATTTATATATGAATACAATATTCATTATACAAAACATCATCAATAACATAAAAACACATCTTTACAATTGAACAAGTTTTTAATTCTAAAAAATTTCAACCCGTAGGCCATGGAAGGAAAAAATTGACTAATTTCCTCATCTCCACCTTGTCTTGTCATTTATTCACTGTTCCATCCCAGACACTCTTTTCTTAAAACCCAGATGCACTCATGCAATTTTTAGTGCAAGAGGATTTTTGTTCTTTCAGGATTTTTAGACCCCGCGATCATTTTAGACCTTCGGGATCATCTGCCTTACGCGGGATTTTTTGGCTTCCGGATTTTTTCTACTGGGGATATTTTCATGGAGCTGATGAAAGCGACGAAATTTCTTTTAACTGCTTCAAGAGAAGCCGACCACGAGAAGTTCTTCTGCTGCAGCGGCGTTGTATGAGGAGTTGTACATACCGCTTGGGGATGATTTGTCCCTAACGAAATTGGACCCAGGAGTATTGGTCTTATGGGCGAACTGGGTATAAAACTATAAATGGAACCCACATCAATCCATCCCCCAGGGGGAGGTGGGTCAACCGGGCAACCAGCAGGGCAAGTGGAGAGGGAGTGATGGTCAGTGTGTAACTGTGTACACAGATTTAGAAAAGTGTCCAGAGCACAAACCTATAAGAACACAAACGGATTTTTCCTCAGGTATATAAAAGCAGGTTTCTTTTCACACAACATTCATTAGGCAATTCCAAACCTTTTTACAAAATAGAATGGCCAAAAAAAGGTCAACTTGTATTTGCCTGATTAAAAAAAAATCCTTGTATTCCAAACCTTTTTACAAAACAGGATGACCAAAAAAGTTCCACTTGTAATTGCATGATTTTTTCTACAATCGTTACCTATTCCAAATCACGCTATATATTCCAAACCTTTTTACAGAATGTCCAAAAAAAATTCAACTTGTTTTTGCGTGAAAAAAATGTTGACAATTTTGTGTGAAGAAAAAACCTCCTTTGATTCCTGATGGGATAATATTGAACAAATCTGTTTCTTGCTTTTAGGCTTGTATGCTGTCAGGAATAAATCCTTGACAATAAATATTAAAAAAAATGATTTGAGTTTAGAAGAATTTGCTTTTAAATGAGAATGAATAAAACAACAGAATTTGGTTGGGCTACAACCAGGGTGAAATCTCACCCTATTTTAAAGTTGTTGTAATTCAAATGTACAGTCAACACACACAATATTCACAAAAATGCTGGAGTGTCTGGTATGAGAGCTCAGAGAAGAATGAAGGATTTCAATGGATTCGGAAACCAGGAAAACTGTCCTCCAAGGACAAATAACAGAACCAGGATTTTAGCAATAGAAAACAGCCTTGGTGGCTTCCAGAAAATGTGTGAACCAAGGTTGTCCTTGGTTCACACAGAGATGTACACAGAGATGTACAAGGACAAGTTTTTCTGAGAATTAGGATTCTTCAGTTCTTTACTCAGGGTAAATTATACTCTAGCATTTCATTTGGCAACATATGCTGCACACTCATCTCCAGCTGTGCACATACTGTCCATCATGACATCACTCCCTCTCTGCGATGATTGTCCCACCAATTGTCCAATATTGCTCAACCTCCCCCATGTGGGGATGTATTGTCCTGGGTTCCATTTCTACTTCGTTCAAGGATGGGTCCCATTCTGTTGAGTACAATTACTTGCGGAGCTATACATGGCTACATATAGATATAGTCATCAGGACTGTGCTCTATAAAGAAGGAAAAACTGTAAATGAATCTTGAATGTTTCAAAAACGACGGTTTATTGTTTCCTTTAACACATATTCCGGATCTATTGCATTTGAACGCGCAAAATATGTACAGTGAAGACCGTATTTATAAAGTATCACCTGCTGCCCTTGGGTTAGACATGCACCATTATAACTTGTCTCGACATATTGTAGAGGAAAAGTATCTTTATTCTTTGATAAAAAATGCTTTATCTTCAACTTTTGAGTCACCAAAATGTTTCCTACTACTGTAGCTGAATATGAAACCTATACCCTTAAAAATGGTTCCCAACCAAAAGCCCTCCCTAGGTCAACTGCCCCCGGAAAGCCCCCCCCCCCCCCCCCCCCCCCCCCGCCATGACGCGTCGACACTGGCAACCAAGCACGGGAAATTGCGGGGATCGCTCCCTATTCCCCTGGTTCCCGTTTTTGTCACTGCGGCGTTTGAGTGACAGCGTCTGCTCGTCGGGGGGATTTTCTGGCTGACTGTTGCTTTGGGGTTTGATGAGCTTGATTGCATCCCGGCTTCCTCTCTTATTCGCAACCCCTTTTACTTTGTATTACGTAGATGCTGCTCCTTTTCATGACGACGGATTCACGGTGGGGGGGATATGTAGGTCTGCTTGCCAATAGCGGATAAATTAGCCCAGCGGGTTACCAACCCATCCTCACGCCGGCCAAACCCCCGTTAGAATGTCTCACGTATACTTTCAAGCACACACACAAAACGGTGTAAAGGTTCCAAATTTCACCAAATGTTTTGAGAAAGAGGAAATAATTTAAAAGATATTTCACAGATTTTTATAGCAAAAAATTCAAAACATTGTACAGTACTAACTTCGACTCGCCGGCCCTAATAATTCAGCCACTCGAGAACTTGTACTTTAATGGGGCATGGCAACTTGGAAAATTGAAAAATCGAGACTCACATCAATTCATGAATCGGTTCTAATTACAAAATAGCAAGTTTTAAAAGCTCGAGCCTTAAAAAGGAGTCTAGAAAAAACAAGATCACTGCAGAGCGGATCTGATGTGTTCGGATCGTGCAACATTATTCCTAAGGAAATAATTCCTCGCTAATTGCATGCGCGTTTTTTAAAATGAATTCTCGGTGAAAAAAAAGACGAAAATTCGAATATTACAATGGATCACAGATTTTTGTCGAGTTCCTACACGAGGACAATTTTAAAAATTATCAGGATCATCCAATTTTCACACGAATGTCCCCAAAAATGCACCTCTTCGTTGGAAGGAATTTTCAGAGCATTCGGATCCGGAATGGTTTCGTGATTTGTTCAATTAATCCACCAAGTAAATTTAGCTTTCTCGAAAAAAAATTATTTCCAATAATTTTACTTCAGGAAATCGAGAATGAAAGGGAGAGAAAATTTCGAACTTTACTAAATAGCATAAAAATTTCGTAAAGGAGGAAAAACTACAGTGTGTGTCAAGATCGTTCAATCGTTACGCAACCCATGGGTTTACAAAATTACGTTTTTCATGAGTGCTGAACTAGCGCTCGGTTCTCGACTTCTCGTGAGCACATAATGTTCGAAGCGGGAAATTCCGTGCGTATAATATCATGCCAGAAATATCCAGCAATTTTATGCACTTTTATTTTTTTCATTTTTTTTTTTTGCAGTGAAGCGACACTCGGAGAGAGACGGAGGGAAACAAGGAAGCGGTGGCAACATAGCAGCACGTTCGCGTGTAAATGGAGTCGGAGCGGTTTCGTCTGTCGCAGCAGCGACGACGACGAACGACGACGACGACGACGACGACGACGACGACGGGTTCCGGGCACGGAGCCCTGATTGCTGGATGCCATTCGGTTCCCGTTCGCCGGGAATCCGTTCCCAGTCTAGTTCCTGCGTCTCATCGTCGACTTTGCAGTTCCCCCCCCTAGGGCGGCATCAGGATCCAGGAAAATCCCGAGCATGTCTTCCTCGCTGGCTGCATTCCGTGATGCTGGCATTTCTCACACAGGAACTTCTCCAAAGTTCATTACTCAAGTGGGCCTTACCATTCTGAGAGATTTGAATTTTCATACATTTAATTCGTTGACACATAACTGGGTCTGGACAAAAAAATAATAATTTCTTCAAGCATAAAGCGAAGGAAGACGCAGTTAAAGTGTTGATCCGATATATGATCACCATGAATATGATCGGATAACATTCGAACAATTATTCTGCAAGTTAAAAAATAAAAAAATGACCTCATACAAGCTCTTTGAAAATACTGTACCCAAAATTTCGAAAATCATCTATATATTCACCGAGATAATTCGTCATCAGGGAAAAATGAAGCCAGTTAGGATAAATTGAAAAGAAGTATCCACGCTTTTTGTTTTCCGTCGATGGATAAAAATGAGCTTATCTCACGAGAGGTTCGGTTATTCCGTTTCTTTATCATTTTAAATCTCCTCAATATTCCATTACAATTCAATCAATTTTGCCTCTATAGACCTGCATGCGATCAAGTCTGAAGAATAAATTTATCATACAAAGAAGTTCTCGAAGAAGAAATGTGACTAAAAACTGTGATGTTACTCAACTTCAGACTCAACGTAAAATGAAAATTTAATGACGATTTTATTCGGGTTTTTTCTCGATTTTAACTTGCAATGTACAGTACTAATTTTTTTAGCATAAACCTACGTGATAAAACGCGTTCAATAAAAACTTCAAAAGAACCCCTAACATTAAAATCAATTGCTTGGAAATTGGGTGTTTGTGTCTTTGAGACCAACTGAAACAAATCCTTGAATGACAAACTCATCAGTGTAAATTAATTAAATTGCGTTTCCGAACACGCACAGGAGAATACGCGCCCCGTATTACGACAAATGTCTTGTCATACATTAAACTGCTCCTTTAAAGAAAAGTATGTTTGTTGCATGTACAAGTACCTAATCCTTATAATCTCTGCATCCCACGCAATCTTCCGACCAGGGGGAGACAATTAAGACGAAGCAACCCTGTGACGCCTACTTAGTAAATTGTTGTCGTCATTTCCCAGTCGAACTGCGTAGAATATCGTCTCTGGACATTTACAGAATGAAAACACGCGCATCGTACAACAAATACCACATACAACGAACAGTTTGTTGAAAGAAGGCATGGAATCGCATCACCTTCACTATGTCTGCATCACACACAAAAATGAAATGTTCGTCCTGCTTCGCTAGAATAGGTAACAGTTGTTTGTTTTTTTTTGCTGCACTGCATGAGATTTTATTTTCAAATACTGTATCTTGTACAGTAGATGACTCAATCGAAATTTTCTTCAAGTCCCTTTTCGGATTCCCTCAAAAACGACGCATTAAAAACATTCCTATAATTCCAATGCTTTTCCTCTCAAACCTCCCGAAGTCGAATTTTCTGAGGCCTCTTGGCTATTATTTTCTTGACACAGGAAAGATAAAAGCAATAAAAAACATAACTTGACGCTTATTGAAAAGGAAGTGAAAGATTAATTGGGCAAATGAACCCTTGCCTCCAAGTTCCACATCCTGTCAAATCATTTAAAAAACAATTTAAGGCCCAGAATATCACCATTCACAATTTCCTGCAATTCTTGTACCATTCCCACAACATAAGAGCTTTTTTTTATAACTAGAAGTCTGCCTAAATAAGAAAGATCTCCCCAAGTCAGTTTATTTTCGCCGATTCCTTGAAATTCGACTTGGAGAGGTTCGACTGCACAACCAACCTCAACAAAGCTCTTTAATACAAGCAACGTACTA